CAGATATGTGACTCAAACATGCACAATGCCTCTGAAGATGCTTCAGGTCCAAGGTAATGGCTGAGCATTCAGTGGTCCGTTACTGCATTGATCTTAAGGTTTACTCAGCATTCCAAGAGAAGAGAGAAAAGTCAAGCACCAAGAGCAGTCTTTGGGGAGAAATCCTTTTCCACTATCCAACACTTACAGGGACAATGGGGTAACTTACTCTTTTAAATAATTTATGTTCAGTCAACAAGACTCAATAACTAGCTAGGCAGGGGACAATGTTGTAAGAGAAACACCTAAAATGCTTCTTCAGTGATAAACATGATAATTCCCTTGCCTGGGCCAGGGAGACTGATATAAATCATGTGGGTGATCCATTAGCTTAGCTCAGGAGACCCCAGAGAATTCATCAATTTTAATAGAGATTACATCAGCCTTTCTACACTTTCCCCCATGGCCATAAAAACTTCTTTAGACAATGGAATACTTTGAAACCTCTCTCATCCTCAGACATTTCTCTCACTTTTCTTAAATTATCACTTTCCCCCAGAAAAATGCAGAGTTGTGACATTATAAAAATATCTCTTACATTCTAAGAGACTGGAACATTCGCTGGAACTCATAGCAAAGTTAATAATACATCCTGAAGTCACTTACAATTTAAGATCAATCTACTATGTACTCCAACTAATGTGCCTTTAAGAACTACGTAACAACCAACCTTATTTGCCTTGGATTACCCATGAAATCAACTTTTACAAGCTAAGCTAAGGCATAGCTAAAATCTTAAATTATGTACTCTTCCATGACTTTAACCCATTAGAACACATTTGTATCACTTGCTGAAAGCAGCCAATACAGAGAAGTTGAATGCAACTTCCTCAAATCAACCATAAGGGTTGAAAGCATTCATTTAAGGTTATTTATTGATAAAACAATCACTTTTGTTATTTGAATGAATTGGGATCTATTGGAGCCAGTGGTTTAATCCAGTTTAAAAACTCTATTAAAGATTTCTGCAAAGTAACCCATTCTTTCCCACTGTGATTCTTTCTATGCTGTTCAGTAGACAGGGAGTGGAGCCCTTTGTTAGGGACAAACACATACAGACAGAAGACACATAGGTAAGCACAGATGTAGATTCACACAACAGACAAAGGATGGAAGACACAGGGAACATGAAGCAGATAACTCAAATCAGAACTTGCTCTTGTTAAATGACTCCAAGCGAAGTGTTTTGATTTGATTCCTTAAGGTGACACTGATACATTATTGGTGACTTAGTTAATCACTAACATATGTTATTCAGGCACTCAGTTTCTCATTTTGAAATAACTCTTTTCTACAAATTTTAAGTTTTATTTATGTGTACTGTAGCTATACCATTTCCCTACTCCTCCCTTCAACTCCTTCTATGCTCACCCACATTCCCTCCTAAATTCATGGCCTCTTTTCCTTTACCAACTGTTACACACACACACACACACACACACACACACACACACACACACACACA